ATATACATATACTAGCAATAATTCAGTGTCTAAAATACTATACAACATAAAAAAATTAAACTAATCTTGCAATATTCATATTTTAAATAATTTAATTTTTTTAATTATGTAATTTAAAATTAAAATGAAAAGAGAAGTATGTGTAAATTGATGAGATTGTTTGATGTTGAGGAGTTTGTTGATTAAGTTATCTGGTATTGAGGGTCATGTAGAGTAGCTGATATTTTTGGGCGAAAAAAAAAATTTTGGGATAAATTTTGTATTATTGGATAAAAGTAGATGAAGATTAAATCAAGGATAAATTTCACTAACCCCTTGTATACATAATAGTAATATGAAATGGTAACATGAACACAACAGTGACAAAGAAAGTAACATTTTAAATAAAAGAGAATAATANAAGGATAAATTTCACTAACCCCTTGTATACATAATAGTAATATGAAATGGTAACATAAGCACAACAGTGACAAAGAAAGTAACATTTTAAATAAAAGAGAATAACATTGAATAGAATAGAGATATAAATAGTAACGTCAACACAATTGTGATAAAAAATAGTAACATTTAAAATCAATTTATGCTAATAATTGAATGTTATATAATTTGAGTGTTATTATTTTATGTTACTATTTGTGTTGCACATCATTTGAATTGCAATTGAAGGCGAAATAAAGAAGGGAATGTAGTCAATAGAAATGGATCAGAATCTTCTAATATGCACTTTGTCATGCCCAAAATTTCATAAAAGTGTGATTTAAAAAACCTTTGTTTATTTCAAAAACACATATCGGTTTGTTGTAACATCAAGAAAGGTATCCTTTTAATTTAAATAAATCATTTTCTAGAAAATTCTGACAGAATTTTCTTTGAAAACTGGGTATCTAGTTAATTTGTGAAAGGTACCTGTGAGAATATTAAACATAATAATTATATTTAATTAGTCATTCACATCATATCAACACATCATATCAACCATATACATCCATTCTCATGACATCCACAAATAAATCATTATCGTTCAATACCAAGGTGGCAAATAGAGGCCCACGAAGTCCTTCCAAACCCGGGTTATAATTTAATTATCCAAATTTGCCTGTCATGAACATAATATATAGACTATCTAAAATCTTTATAAATAAACTATCTAAAAGGTCTCAATCTATACATATATCCTCAAATTAACCAAGATATAAATCACTTACAAATTATCAATAATATACATTATTGTATATTGTTCTTTACATGCTATAAGTAAATATATATAAATCACAACATTTATTTTCTACCTTGATACTCCCACTATGTAGTCTACCAATAAATGTCCATATCTGAAAATATTAAATGATAAGGGTGAGTAACTACATGCTCAGTACAGTAAGTTTTATCCCATTCTCATGTAAGGTTTCAAATACAAAATTAACAAAGCATATAACATATGTAACCATTTTACTTAAGAAATACAATGAATAGGCATTGCACATAAATTTTATAACAAAACAATATAAATAAGGAGTATATCTTAGAGAAATTCAACTCCCAACCTAAAATTCCTTTTTTCCCCACCACATGCCAAACTATCATAATCCACACCCAAAATGTCATTTCTAACTCAATGAACTTTTAAAATTACTTTAGAAATTACTACTTGAAACAAAAAAAGATAAACTCCCAAATTTTCAAAATATTCATTTAAAATACATATGCCACCATTTCGAAAACCCGATGCTCGCAAACATCAATCATAAATAGTAACATATTCATGACCACTCATGGCCTTTATCTAAAACAACATCAAATTGTGTATACCATACCTCAACCCCACCGCACCTCACCCCACTTAAGATGTATGTTGGCTTCGCACAGTCTGATGACTTCTTGGTACAAAACACCATGTATGCTACCCATAAAGACCAATAAACAAATCAATACCAATCCACGCATGAACCATCTCTAGAGAAACTTTTGTGTCTTGCACTTTAGGGTCTCATCACATTTCTTGTTTTTCAAGGGAATGTGTAGAGTATAACATGTGAAGTCACACATGTCATCACTGAAAATCACTACCATCACCAATATTCCCTAGGACTAGTAGCTGCCTTGACAACTCACTTAATGGGTCCCAACCGTCTACTAACTCTTCGTCGATTAGAATCAAGCATACATTTTTCAAAAAAATAATTTACTATTTATAAAAGGTCTCATCTTTAATTTCACTTCATCTCTGAGATATTTACAAGTTTACCAAAAATCTCATTTTTAAAAGTAATTCCACGAATAACATCCGCGCTAAAATACTCTTTACTCCAAAATCCCTAGTTAAAAAGGATAAGTATTCATGTATGTCAAAACCACGCTCAACTCTGTTCAAAGTTCCCAAAATTTACATTAAAGTATACTCCTTTATTTGATAATAACCAAAACACTTTCTCAAGACAACACATTTTCAAAACTAGTCATACGCATCCCAAAATGTCATTTTTACCATTATATTAGTAAAAATCCCAACTTAAGTGTTTGGAAATCAAATTTGATGAAAGCTCAACTACATATCCAAATTACTTCACAATATCCAAAATCATGGTATCTATACTCACTATAAGTATACAAATCAAAGTAGTGGCTCAAAGGCCATTGTTTCAAAATTTGCTCTCATTTGGGTATTTCTTCAAACACTTGATAGACATACTCTAAAATATGCATTTTCAAAACAACATACCCATTTCAAAGAGAATAATTCAAGTACTTCAAATATAAGAACGCATATCCTTTCAAAATACTGAAATTATGCTTTTAACCCAATACCCATAGCTTTTTTAAGTTGAAATTCCCAACGAACACATCAAAATATCACAAATACTTTTTATGCAGGTAATTTCACAAAAAATCTGGCATATCATTAAATACCCAAGTTTTGTAACATTTATTTCTTAACCCTAGCATTTTAGTCAAATACACATGCATGCATACAATTCATGAGAAATATGTAAAGAACACCCTACTCTGATCCAAGATTCCCAAGCTTAATCTCTAAGCTCCCCAAGCTTTTCTGTTCCCAAGCTTCATTGATCTCCCTCAGCTCCAAAATATCTTACTTCTTGAAATCCTCATCCTCCAATCTCCAAGATCTTCAGTAGATCTCAAGAATTCCAAGACAAACCTCCAAGATCCTTAAGCAAAGCCCAAGCCCCAGAGCACTTTTTTCACTTCTTCTCTTTTTGTTCTAAGGTACGGAGGAGTATTGGGTGAGAGGAGTGTTATTGTTCATCATGCTTGTCTCTAAACATCTCCAATTTGATTTGTATGACTACCTTAAGATTTTTTGACGTCTCGGATTCATTTTTATTGTTATTTTAACCTAAAAACATATAATTTTATAAGTTCTATAAAAATTCAAATTGAATTATACTAAAAACACCAAATTTACTATTATACCCTTTCAGATCATAATACCGACTAAATGTCTATGCTAATATTTCTCAATGCTCTGAAACAAAAAAAGTAACGATGGTCACCTCTCCTTTTCTGAGTGTCATTTCTGCTAGGTTCGATTTTCCCAAGGGTATGCAGTACTAGACTCAAAATGTGAATATTCGATATGACACCNGATCATAATACCGACTAAATGTCTATGCTAATATTTCTCAATGCTCTGAAACAAAAAAAGTAACGATGGTCACCTCTCCTTTTCTGAGTGTCATTTCTGCTAGGTTCGATTTTCCCAGGGGTATGCAGTACTAGACTCAAAATGTGAATATTCGATATGACATCATGGTCCCTAAGGAAGTTTGTTTCTTCGTTGATTCATTTGAGAATAGCCTTAGGTTTCCTATGCATCCTTTCCTCAAAAATATTCTTCAATATTTCAACATCTGTCCTGCTCAACTTTTTCCCAATTTATGAGGTGTTTTGGTGGGTCTTCTAATTTTCTTTAAGAAGAACGAGCTCGGTGTCCCCACGATACCTTTGCTTATGAAATTCTTTAATGTCAAGGTCTCTCGTTCTAATGGCTTCCTTTATATGGCAAAACGGGTGAAGAAACGAGTTCTAATCTCTGACCTCCCAAGCTCCCACAAGGGTTGGAAGAAGTTTTTATTCTTTGTGTCTGAAAAAAAGTGGGAGTTTAACCCCAGGGGTGCCGCTAAAACACTTCATATACCTCGGGCTTGGTTAGCCCCTGATAACTTGGGTAAGCCCTGGCTGAGAAGGCTTGGTCTAGCTTCATAGTTTAACGTCTCTTTTACTGACCTTGTTTCCTTTTCTNTGGCTTCCTTTATATGGCAAAACGGGTGAAGAAACGAGTTCTAATCTCTGACCTCCCAAGCTCCCACAAGGGTTGGAAGAAGTTTTTATTCTTTGTGTCTGAAAAAAAGTGCCCAGGGGTGCCGCTAAAACACTTCATATACCTCGGGCTTGGTTAGCCCCTGATAACTTGGGTAAGCCTTGGCTGAGAAGGCTTGGTCTAGCTTCATAGTTTAACATCTCTTTTACTGACCTTGTTTCCTTTTCTCATTTTCAGGTATCTGAACCAATCTCAGCGTAGAGGATAGGATTGTCCTGCTGGGCTTGGAGAGTTGTCAGCTAGAGAAGTACTCTAAGGTTCTCAAGCCTATATTGCTTACTCGACTCAAGTTCAGTCCTCCCAATGTGAGAGTTGAAATTCCAATTCTAATAGCTGTAGCTAATGTTGTGGATCCTGCTGGTAAGACTCTCCTTTCTTTATTCCTAGCTCTACCCTTTCTTCTTTTCGATTTTAATGATCTACTTACTTTGATATTTTAGGTTTCAGTTTGATGGTTCCAGATGCTAAAGTCGTAAGGGCAAAAGTGGCCCAATTTAGGAAAGGCAAAGCTGGGAGAAAACGCAAGGTCGAGGATAAATCTGAGAATTACTCGGGTTCTATTCCAAAAATACCACGGGTGAGCTCGTCCTCTCCCCCACCTTCTCAAATGACCTCTTCACCTCCACCAGGATTTTAGAAGACCTCTCTATCTATGAAGTCTACAACAGTCTCCACTTCCCAAGGCGTTCTTATTCCCCAGAAGACTCCAAAGATATCTCATCCTCCCACCATGGAGCCATCTGGATCTACTGGGGTCTCACATTGCCCCTCATCAACAGAGGTAACTGGAGCCCTCGAGGCCATAGCTCCCGTCCTGCAAGAATTTTTCTCCCCCAAGTCTATCTAGAAAGTGTCTTGTCTGCCATTAGAGGGCTCATCAAGAAAGGCGATCAAAGGCAAGAGTTCGCTTATCAGGNACCATGGAGCCATCTGGATCTACTGGGGTCTCACATTGCCCCTCATCAACAGAGGTGACTGGAGCCCTCGAGGCCATAGCTCCCGTCCTGCAAGAATTTTTCTCCCCTAAGTCTATCTAGAAAGTGTCTTGTCTGCCATTAGAGGGCTCATCAAGAAAGGCGATCAAAGGCAAGAGTTCGCTTATCAAGAACATGAACCTTGCTACCGAGGCTATTACATCTGTTATCCCTGAATCTAACATTCAGGAAGTTTCCTTGGTGCCCTTGTCTACCACTGCTCTGTATGGATCAGCATTAGTAAGCTATGAGCTTTCAAAACTCCATTTTTGAATAGGTAGTTTTTTTGACTTTAGCTCTNTTATCCCTGAATCTAACATTCAGGAAGTTTCCTTGGTGCCCTTGTCTACCACTGCTTTGTATGGATCAGCATTAGTAAGCTATGAGCTTTCAAAACTCCATTTTTGAATAGGTAGTTTTTTTGACTTTAGCTCTTTTGTTTTTCTTAGTTGGCTATCCATGTGAGTGCCTTGGTGAGCAAAGTTTGAGCTTTGTAGAGTACTGTCGAGGTGTCTCAAAAATTCTCGAAAGCCTTCGAACTCAAAATCACCAATTTGTCCTTTGCCAACGATGATTTGAAGGCTCAGGTGCATGAATTGAAGGCTCAAGTAAACGGGTTGAACTCAGCGAACAAAGGCTTAGAAACCAAAGCCAGAAAGGCTAATGATGAGCTCAAGTTTAAGAATAACGACTTGTTTTAGGTGTGGAAGGACGCATTCGAGGCTCGTAACTCCTTCCATTCTATGAAGAAAAAGTACCACATGTTGGTTGAGGTCAACGTCATGCTGCCAAAGAAAATTAAAGTGGAGAGGGCCAAGGTGAAGACAAGGGACACCAAGATGGTAGAACTCCAGGATAAATGTGCTACGAACTGGTCAGCTGAGTATTTTGCCTTCCAGAAACAGGCCATGGAAGCGTACCCTGCTCTAGACTTTGACTTCGATCCTCATTTGGATAAAGAGAAGGATGGACAACTACTGAAAAGGAGGTTGAGGTTGAGGTCACAACTCCTAGTGTCATCCCTGAGGTTAAAGCTTCTGCCACTGTCTCTACTAGGGATGAGGTCGAGGCTCTTGAGCCTATTCCTACTGAGACAAGTGTTAAGCCCTCTTCTGGGCCCGTTTTGACTAGGGAGATAACTTCAACAGAGGTGGGAGTTCCTAAGATCACCTTGCCTCTTACTAAAGTTGAAGTTCTAGTGCCTGTCCCCACTAAGGCTCTTTCCGCTTCATTTGAGCTTCTTCTTGCTCTGCCAAAGGGAGTGATTGTACCAGGGATGTCCCAAACTGAAGAAGTTAGAGGTCCTACTGTGGACTCTTAGGTTTTTTTGAAAATTTCTTATCTTTGTAATAGTTTTTGGAAGAAATGAAAAAGAACTTATATCTTACTTATGTCTTGTTGTCCCCCCTATGCCCCTTTTCTTCAAGGAGAGCTTTGTTCTTTTGGGAGCAATTTTTTCTTTGTCAAGTATAAGGTCTATTTCCAAGCTGAGGGACTTATCTAANGTTTTTGGAAGAAATGAAAAAGAACTTATATCTTACTTATGTCTTGTTGTCCCCCCCTATGCCCATTTTCTTCAAGGAGAGCTTTTTTCTTTTGGGAGCAATTTTTTCTTTGTCAAGTATAAGGTCTATTTCCAAGCTGAGGGACTTATCTGAGAACCTTAGCTTTTTGTCAAAGGGTTTATAAGCTGAGAAGCTCATATTTGTGAGTTGAGGAGCTCATGGGTTGTTAGTGAGCTAAGGGGCTCATTTTACGGGCTCATCTCTGAGCTAAAGAGTTCATCTCTGTGAACTAAAAAGCTCACCTTAGTTTTATGAGTTGAAGAACTCATCGTAATTTTATAAGCTGAAGAGCTCATTGTTATTTTTTGAGTTTGAGACCTTATCTTGGTTTTATGAGTTGAAGAGTTCATCGTAGTTTTATAAGCTGAAGAGCTCATTATTAAGTTTGAGGACTCATCTTGGTTTTATGAGCTGCAGAGCTCATCATAGTGTTATGAACTGAAGAGTTCATCGTAGTTTTATGAGCTGAATAGCTCATCGTTGTTTTACGAGCTAAAGAGGTCATCGTTGTTTTATGAGTTGAAGAATTCATCGTAATTTTATGAGCTGAAGAGCTCATCTTTATTTTATGAGCTAAGGNAGGTCTATTTCCAAGCTGAGGGACTTATCTGAGAACCTTAGCTTTTTGTCAAAGGGTTTATAAGCTGAGAAGCTCATATTTGTGAGTTGAGGAGCTCATGGGTTGTTAGTGAGCTAAGGGGCTCATTTTACGGGCTCATCTCTGAGCTAAAGAGTTCATCTCTGTGAACTAAAAAGCTCACCTTAGTTTTATGAGTTGAAGAACTCATCGTAATTTTATAAGCTGAAGAGCTCGTTGTTATTTTTTGAGTTTGAGACCTTATCTTGGTTTTATGAGTTGAAGAGTTCATCGTAGTTTTATAAGCTGAAGAGCTCATTATTAAGTTTGAGGACTCATCTTGGTTTTATGAGCTACAGAGCTCATCATAGTGTTATGAACTGAAGAGTTCATCGTAGTTTTATGAGCTGAATAGTTCATCTTTATTTTATGAGCTAAAGAGCTCATCTCTATTTTATGAGGTGAAAAGCTCATCTCTTTGCTAGTAGTAAAGCGACAATCGAACTTAAACTTCTTTGTTTATTGCCATGAAATTTTACAAATGTGTAGTTCTTGGTTACTGAAAGAATCTTTTCAAATAATCAGCATTCCAGGAATGAGGCAAGACTCTTCCTTCTTGAGTTCATAACTCGTAATTTCCTAGTTTGATTACTTTGGATATGATGTATGGACCTTCCCAATTGGGTCCTAGCTTCCTATGAGTGGGGTCCTTTCCATAGGGAAGAGTTTTTTGAGAACTAGATCTCCTACTTTGAAACTCTGGTGTCTAACCCTTTTGTTGTCATACCTTGTTGTCTTTCTCTTATAGCCCAAGATGTATTGTAAGGCTTTGTCCCTTTTTCATCTAGGAGGTCAAGATTGACTAGGAGTAATTCATCATTTAGCTCGGGGGTTGATGAACTCTGACCTGGGAGATGTGATGCCTACTTCCACTAGGGCTACTTCTTATGTGCCATAAGCTAGGGCGAAGGGTATTTCTTGAGTTGTCGATCTAGTTGTGATTCTATAAGCCCATAGCACTTCTGAAAAATGTTCCACCCATCGACCTTTTAAAGCTTCGAGTTTGGTCTTCAAAGCTATTTTTATGGTCCGAATAGTTACTTCTGCCTATCCATTCAACTGGAGATGAGAGCTAGTGCAGAGAAGTAGTTTTTTATGCCTAGCGCGGCACAAAATCCTTTGAACCTCAAGTTGTCAAATTGTTTTTCATTATCTGAGACTAATGCCCTTGGGATCCCAAATCTACAGATTGTGAATTTATAGGTGAAACTCTAGATTTTATCTGGATTTTTTGCTCTATGATCTTCAAAAGAGGTTCCACCTCAGCCTACTTGGTGAAGTAATCTACCCCTATTATAGCAAATTTGCATTGCCCTGTACTTGTTGGAAGAGGGTTGAGTACGTTTAAACCCCACTGTTGGAACGGTCATGAGCTATAATCACCAAGGTAAGGAGCTCTAGTGGGCAGTATGTAATATTGGCATGCACTTAATAGATTTTGCATTTCTTAACTAGCTCTACCGCGTCCTTGAGCATGGTGGGCCAAAAATATCCCTACCTTAGAGCTTTACTAGCTAGGTCTTGAGCTCTAATGTGATTATCGTAGATGCCCTCCTGGATCTCCTTTACAATGTAATTTGCCTCTTCGATGTCAACATATCTCAAGAGTGGTGACGAGAAACCTCTCTTGTATGAATTCCCTTGGAGGATAGTGAATCTGGAAGACCTGACCCTTAGTCGTGTTGCTTCTTTGGAATTTGTTGGAAGGGTTCCATCCCATAGGTAGTCCTTAATTGGGTCCATCCAACTCGGCTGAGTCTGAACAGGGAATACCTCCTCGAGCTTGGTGTTTACGGATGGCTCTACTAGGTGTTCACCTGGAATGAGCCTATCCAAGCTTTCCTGGGAAGTATTAACTAGCTTGGCTAAGGCATTGGCTTGGGAGATTTCAACTCTAGGGACGTGCACAGCCTTAACTTACACAAATTTTCTCATTAGCTCTTATACCTTCTTTAGATATAGAGTCATTCTTTCTCCTTTAGCCTCGTATGTCTCCTCAATCTATTTCACGCCTAGTTGGGAGTCGTTATTAATCACGAGCTGCTCTACTTCCATGAAATTTGACATGTTGAGCCCGATGATAATGAATTCATACTCAGCTTCATTGTTTGAAACTTTGAAATTAAATCTAAGGGCATACTCAATATCAATCCCGTCTAGGGATGTCAAGATTAGTCTAGCACCGCTGCCCTGGGCGTTGACAGCACCATATACAGATAGTTTCCACATCAGGAGGTCGGGTGTCAGCTAGGTTGTTCTCAGGGATAATTCCTAACCCATTGTGAATTCTGCGATAAAATATACCAAAATTTGTCCTTTGATAGCAATTCTGGGCTTGTATTTGATGTCAAACTCACTGAGTTCTATTCTCCATTAGACCAGTATTCCTGATGATTTTGGCTTGTCCAAGACCTGCTTCATTGGTTGATTTATGGGTATTTTTATTGTGTGGGCTTAGAAATAAGGCCTGAGTCTCCTTGCAACTGTTACCAAAACTAGTACCAACTTCTCCATCTTTAATTTTCTTTCATCTGTTCCTCTTAGAGCTCTACTACAGTAGTAAACTGATTATTGAGCTTTGTTTTGTTGCCTAACCAGTGCCGCGCTGGTTGAGAAATCTAAGACAGTAAGGTATAAGGTGAGTACCTCTCCCTTTCTAGGACTCACAAGGACTGGGGATGAGTTGGGATAATCCTTTAGGGCTTTGAATGCATCCCCACCCTGTGCATCACATTGGAACTTTTTTTTAGGACTTGGAAGAAGGGTTAACACTTCTCGCTCGACCTAGAGACAAAGCAACTTAAAGATGTTATCCTCTCTATTAAACGTTGAACCTCTATTGTGTTTGAGGGTGGTTGTATGTTGATTACAACTCTGACCTTTTTTAGATTAGCTTCTATACCTCGGCTATTGACTATAAAACCTAGGAATTTTCCAGCGGAGACTCCATATGCGCATTTTACTGGGTTGAGCTTCATTTGGTACTTTTTAAGGATCTAAAAAGACTCCTTGAGGTGGTGCATATGAAACTCAACTTTCAATGACTTCATAAGCATGTCATCAATATACACCTCCATTGACGTCCCAATCTACTTCTGGAACATGCGATTCAACAATCGCTGGTATGTGGCTCTAGTGCTCTTTAATTCGAACGGCATGACCTGGTAGTTGTATGTCCTCTGCTCGGTTATGAATTATGTCTTCTCTTGATCATTTGGGTCCATCCTAATCTGGTCGTACCCTAAGAAGGTGTCCATGAAGCTCAACATCTCATGTCCTGCTGTGGTATCCACTATCAGATCAATTCTGGGCAGTGAAAAACTGTCCTTGTCGTTGATCCTTGTCGTGAAAAACTGTCATTGTCCTTGTCGTTGTATTATCCACTATCGATGAAGTCAATGTAGTAGCTCCACTTGTCGTTGATTTTCTTTACGAGGACCACATTGGCCAGTCAGGTCGGATAATTTACCTCCCTGATGGCCTTGGCATGGAAGAGCATGGAGACCTCGTTTATTACTTTCTGGTTCTCTGAGGCAAAACTTCTCTGTTTCTGCTTCATGGACTTGAAGGTTGGATTCACACTGAGCTTGTGCGTGATGACTGGGGGGTTAATCGTCTGCATGTCTTCTTGCTTCCATGCGAATACCTCCATATTTTCCTTCAAAAATTGAATAAAGAGGTCTTTAACCCCCTTGAGCAGTTTCAATCCCACGTACACCAAATGCTCTGGGTCCTTGTCAAGTTAGATAGGCTCTAGCTCTTCTGAATGCATGGGTCTTGTGTCCAGTTCATCCCTCATGTCGAGCTCATCAAGTTGTATGGTTTCGACCTCCTTCTTCTTCATATACACCATGTAGTATTCTTGTGCTACTCGTTAGTCTCCTCAGACCACTCCAATGCCATTTTCAGTAGAAAATTTCATCACAAGATGATAGGCAAAGGGAATAGCCCTCATGGCATTGAGGGAAGGTCTCCCTAGTAGAATGTTATATGCTGAAGGGGTATCAAATATCAAGAATCTTACTGTGGTAGGGGATTGGCAGGGAGGGTCTTTCATTGTGAGAATAAACTAGATTGAGCCAAGGGTAGCACCCTCTCCCCAGAGAATCTGAGCTAGTGAGTCCTTTCTGGCTTGAGCTTGTCTCTTCCAATGTTCATCTTGTCGAAGGCGGATGCAAAGATGATATCGACAGAGTTCCCGTTGTCGATTAGAACCCGATGGATGATTCTATTGATGATGATAGCCCTTACTATCGAGGGATCATCGTGGAGATGCTGGCAGCCTTCTAGATCTACATCCGAAAATGTTCTGTCCATGCTCAGCCGAGATGCCTTGGACAAAACCTAAACTTCCAGTACATCTTATGCCCTGACTTTTTGCATGTGGGCCTTTCTGATTGAGCTAGCTTCTCCTCCTCTAGCAAATCCTCCTAATATTACTCTGATTTCTCCTAAGGGATGTTGATGTTGCATTGGAGCTTGTTGCTTAGGTGCTGGGGGTGGGTGAGCTTGGTTCTAACTGTCTTGTGCTACAAAGCGACACAATTCTCCCCTTTGAATTAGGAACTTGATCTCCTTCTTCAACTAGATACAATCATCAGTATGATGACTGTGGTCTCGATAGTACTCGTAGTATTTTGTATCATCCCGTTTTGCGGAGTCAGCCTTCATACAAGGTGGCCACCTCAAGAACTTTTCATTCTGCACTTCGTAAAGGAACTAGGACATCGTGGCGTTAGGGGGAGTGAACTGCCTTGGAGCATAAGTTGGCTTTAACTTCTAAGGGAGGAGACCTAGGCGATCTCTAATGTCTTCTCTTCTTTTTGGGGAGCGATCTCTGTCTCTTCATGGAGACCTTTCTCGACTCCTTTCCTTCTTTGGACTTCAGTCATTTCTTTTCTCTTTCTTCTTATGGGTACCTGAGCTTCCAGTCTTTGAGACGAGACCCTTCTCGCCATTGATGTATTTTTCTACCTTGGCAAGAACCTCAGTCATGTTGGCTTATGGGTTCTTAGAGATAGAAAACATTAAGTCCTTGGACTAGACTCCCAGTCCAACAATGAAGGCAGTGAGGGAAAATCTCTCATCAGGGATGTCTACTTTTAGAGATTCTGAATTGAACCTCTAAACGTAGCTCCGTAGTGTCTCATTAGGTCCCTGTTTCACATTTAATAAGTGGTAGCTCGGCTTTCAGTAGGTCTAAGGTCCAATAAAATGTGACACGAATGATACTGAGAGCTCCTTAGAAGTTAGGGTCAGCCTGTTGAACCAGGCCAAGACTAAGCCCTTCAGTGTGATAGCGAAAGCTTGGCATCGCATTAGGTCTTAATAATCATGCAGCTCCATCTAGCTCTTGTAAGTGTTGAGATGGTGTATAGGATCCCTTGTCCCATCAAAGGCTTCTATTTGTACCATTCTGAACTTTTGTGGAAGAGGAAAATGCAACACTTCTACGTTAAAGGGAGACTATATATGCTGGACAAAGGTATCCATGGACATAGTGGTTTTACCCCTCACAGCCTCCGTCATGTAGCTGAGCTCTTGTTAGATCTCTTTGAAGCGTTGCTCCTAGAACTGCTCATTTCTTTCTAGTTGGAATGGGGGAAATTCATTCTTTTTAGTTTTCCTATTCTGGCTTTGTACTTCTTCATTGTCCTCGTTCATTTGAACTCGACGATGGACATTGCCAATTGTTTGGCTACGCTTATCCCCCTCGATGATGTCCCTTAGGGGTTAAGGTGTAGATGTTCCCTCTGTGGGGGTCATTCTAGGCTGGTAGTGCTCTCTAGGGACGTTAGATGAGGTTTAGTAACTCCTCATTCTATTGGAGGAGGTGTCGATTGGCTAGGCGAAGGGCTTCGAGCTCGTTATTTGAAGGAGGGTCCACCATGGGTGGATCAACATCTGGATTAGGCAAGAAATCATGAGGAATTTCTTGTTGCTTTCCAGCGGCAAGTTCTTGTTGGTTCTACAATTGGAGGGGATTTATCTGACTTTTGTTCATATTGTGCATAGAAACCATCAATTACTGAAGATGATCAATAGAATTTTTACAGGAACAGTAGTTCCCACAGACGGCGCCAACTGGTGACGTATGTAGCATAATAGACTAGGGATAAGAAATTGATGGGCATTGAGTAACTCAATATGAGATCCTAGGCTGTTAAGATTTGGGCTAGGGAAAAAGAATTAACGTACAAATAGTTTATAATTGTTCACCAACTCAAGAGCTCGGCTAATCCTCTCTTAAGGAAATCTCTTACTTTGGGACTTATAATGATAAGAAATAAGATTACAGAGTATTTGTTTAGATGACAATGACTTGTCTCTCTTCTGCTAAGGGTTATGCCCCTTATTTATAGTTGATTCTGAGCTTCGCTTGATCTTCGGCGAGATCTTTGTTTCCTCCTTGTAACGGTTGCTACTATCATGCAATGGTTATGGAGGGTTGTTGGGGTAGTTGCAACTCTTCTGCCTGGATATACGCCCATTACTATTTGAGTGACGCTTGGGTAGAAGGCAGCTATCTTCTGTGCTATCTTCTTGAGATGCAGCTACATGGATAGAAGGCCTGACCTCAAGCTTCATGGCCATTCAAGGTGGGCTGAGCTCTTGTTCTAGGAATGCATGACCAGAATTCCCGAGCTCAATCTTAGGTAGGTTTAAGGTATTATCAACAGCAATAGAGTAATGGTGATGACGTCGACTTCAGTGCCAGGAACAGGGGCGCAACAGGGGACAATGGCACTGCTTTAGCAGCCATCATGGAGCGCCACCACCACGATCTTATCTTTGGAGGTCTTCGACAATGAGGTCGTCCCCTCTTCATTACAACATATCGACCACATTCTTCGTGTCGCCACCAAGATCCAGAACGAGCGTCCTCGCGTTGCCTATCTCGGTATGTTGTTTTGAAATGATTCTCTTCCCTTACAAACCCTAGAAAGTTCAATCAGTTCAATAGATTCTTAATTAAGTCATTATCTGCATTGTGATTTGTGATAATTAGTGTTGTGATTTTTGAAAATGTTCGTGTGTTGTGGTTGTTTTTTGATAATTTGAAGGCCGGTTCTATGCGTTTGAGAAGGCGGACAGGTTGGATTCGAGCTCGAGTAGACTTAGAGTGTGTTTGGGATGACTTATGAAATTCAAAAAGTACTTTTTTAATAAATGTTTATCAAAAGTGTTTATAAGAAAAAAAATTTTATTAAATAAGTATAGTTTGGATATTCAGAATTTAAAATACTTTAATTAATGTATTTTATAAAAAACACGTTTGGATGTGAAAACACTTATTTGTGTCACAATTATTAATAGCATTGAATGCACATATACAAACATACACTACACATATAATGATACACAAATATATATATATATCATACACAAAAATATCATATTAATAAAGGAATTATACGAAAAAAACTACATAGTCCAACTATCCTAATGACATACTAAAGTCGTAATACACATGTTAATAATAAATACAATAAAAAATAATGCTTGATTGTCCCTTAGAATTATTTTTTTTTTCCAAACCACAGAACTTTACTAATTTCTAAACCACAAAATACAAGAAGCAAAGCTTTACAAAACAAAAGGAAAAACCACACAATGGCTTTAATCCTTCAAAACAACCAAAACAAAATACAAATTTGATACAAAACATACAAACAAACCAAAGCCCTCAATCATTTATACACTTCAACACCCGCTTTGCCCTTATTACTGGAAGCCTCCTCTGATCATGCTTCAGCAGATCAGTCACCAACCTTGGCATATTACTCACAGTAAAAACAGAAGATACTTGATCCTGCACAGCACGATTAGCTAATCCATCTGCATCTGAGTTAGCCTCTCGATATACATGACTTCTTTGGCATTTCAATTTGCCAAATAAACCTTTAATCTGATACAGCATACTCAAATACTGCCATGCACATTTCACATTACCAAACACAGCATTCAACAATACCAGTGAATCAGACTCCACCCAAATCTCTTCCTCCATCATGTCATGGCTAACAACCAGCTGCAAGCCATCTAACAAAGCACAAAATTCAGCCTTCATGTTCGAACACTCCCCATAATAAAACGATGCTGCAAGGATAACACCACCACTTTCATTCCTCAAAATAACCCCTCCACCAACTGGACTAGGATTACCTTTGGTAGCCCCATCGACATTTAACTTTATAATACCGGGATTGGGAAACTCCCAACACACCCAAACAGCCTTGTACACCAAGTCACATGAGACCTTAATGTTCAGCTGCAGGCTTCACACACATCGAGGACCAATTACATTTGGCATCAGTCACTGGACATGGACCTCAAAGCTCGGTGCAGGCGTCAGTTATCAAAGGGTGTGTGTATCTTCCACTTATTAAGGCTTTTGTTGAGCTCATTCTGCTTGGTCATAAATCAAACAGTTGGTGGGCAGTGGACAATGAGCAATACAAATGTTATCACATATCTACACAAATCATTAATAACAAAACTTATCAAATTCTATGATGAGAGGACAAGATTGTGACCTGAATTTCTCAAGCGACGGCTACTGGCTGTTGCTTCAACGGCTTAATATTCTTCTTTGACTTCGGATCGCACTCGACGAGAAAGTCTTCGACATTGTACACGACGATGATGTAGAGTGAGCAGCGAGGGAACCGAGAGAAGATTCTCAGATCTTCTTTGGTTATCTGAAACATGTCTCCGCATGGGCGCGGGTACATGAAGGCCTGAAGCTCCTCGGTCCACTCCATATCTTTGATCGAAACTTTGCTCTACGCGATTTGGGCTACCAGAGATTGATGGATCTCCACCGCTAGTAGCTACCCCCAATTATAAGATCGATCAGATTTTGGGAGGCACAAAGTCGGTTAAAGAGGTCGGTTTACGTCGGTGGTCGTCGTCGGCGGTCGGTGGTTGGTGTCATCTGTGGATGTCGGGGAGCAAGGGTGCTACTCGCGAAAAAAAAAAAGTGTTTTATCAACGGGAAAAGTTATTTTTTTTTTAACTTCTACTTACTAATTTATTTAAATGTTTTTGAGAAGTTATAACAAACACTGTGTTTTTTAAAAGAAAAAACTTATAATAAGCTAAAAACTCTAAAAATGCTTTTTTTTTAAGTGATCCCAAACACACCCTTTGTGTGAGACAGTTCAAAACAGCTCTTCTTCAACGATTAGAGCGGGTATGTACTTAACTACTTATGCTTTGCTTTTTTCTGTTTTTGATTTCTGGCAGTGCTTTTTCTGCTCTGGTTGTTTTCAGTTTCAAACGACTGTCCCATTTTGTTGAGGGACTGTGCTACGAAAAAAGAGTTAGTTATGAGAATATTTTGAAAGAGAGAATTGGGTGTTGTCATGGCCCATGTGAGCTTGAAGTCATAGCAAGGCGGCAAGGCCGGCCCGATTAGTGTAAAAAATTATATGAGTTTGATTATTTCTAGACTGGTTTAAGTATGACAATTTTTAGTGGGCCTTCACATATGTCGAATTTTCTAGGCCTAATTATTCTATTGGAGCCTTTGTGACATGGGGCCGTAAACGGCTGCTTTAGTTGCTTTAGCTTTGGGCCACTGGGCCAGCCCTGCATGTGTCTTTGTATTTCTGTATGTTCTATCCTGGCTGATAAGTTATTCACCTTAAAATTTTGTGAAAGTAATTCTTTAAATGAAAAATAATTTAACCAAAAATTAAAGAAAAAATCACTAATAAGTCCTATTTTTCCTTCAAAATAACTATTAAGTCTTATCATGTTTACCTTAGGATAATTAAGTCCTATTTTTAATAATTTATTTCCAAAAAATCTTATACTCCATCAATAGTAATTTTTTTTTTTAATTTTATCCTTCCCATCAACACACTAATTATTTACCTAATGACTTTTATATTATGTAAGATTCACTCCCATGGAACTTCTACATGTCAATAGGGTGGATGCTTTGAAAATTAAATAACTTACNCACACTAATTATTTACCTAATGACTTTTATATTATGTAAGATTCACTCCCATGGAATTTCTACATGTCAATAGGGTGGATGCTTTGAAAATTAAATAACTTACTTGGATTTTAATGTAAGATAAAAAAATTATATTTCAATAAATATAATTGAATATAAAATTGTAAACAAAAATATAATTTTTATTTTCATGGGAAAGATAAAATTGGAACAAAACAAATCATTGATGGAGTTTAGGATTTCTTGGGAATAAATTATCAAAAGTAAGATTTAATTATCCTAAGATAAATATGATAATACTTGATAGTTCTTTTGAAATAAAAGTAGGATTTATTGGTATTTTTTTCTATGTTTACTTATTAAATTATANGGAATAAATTATCAAAAGTAAGATTTAATTATCCTAAGATAAATATGATAATACTTAATAGTTCTTTTGAAATAAAAGTAGGATTTATTGGTATTTTTTTCTATGTTTACTTATTAAATTATACTTGGGAGATAGAATTACCCCGATCTAATTATATAATTACAATCTATCCACCTTTAGAAATTATTAAGCATAAGTTTTTTCATGAATAAAAATCTAGAAAGCTTAAAAACAATTACAGACTTATGTTGTTGGTTTTTTGGGTTCAATGGGGGAGCCAATAATAGCTGGAATTTTAAAAAATTTTCTCCAACATTACCAAAACTCTATTTAATCATATATCGAAGGGGGCAAAAGACTGGTTTTATTAGTTTGTCCATATAAGTGGTCTATATATAATTTTTATAAACTTTCGTCTCACCGGAAACAACTTCAATTCACTTTTTATTTTTCATTTCTTAGTCATTTTATATAGTCCAATACCAAAAAATCACTTCAACCTATTCTCTATTCCACACTCTATTTTCCATTTCAACTTTTTGACTCTTCAAATCTGGCGAGGCCCCTCTCTCTCTCTATACCTCTCTCTTTCTTTCTCTTGATTCAATCAACTTTCTATTTTGCTATTTCAACTGTTTTTATTTTTCANAACAACTTCAATTCACTTTTTATTTTTCATTTCTTAGTCATTTTATATAGTCCAATGCCAAAAAATCACTTCAACCTATTCTCTATTCCACGCTCTATTTTCCATTTCAACTTTTTGACTCTTCAAATCTGGCGAGGCCCCTCTCTCTCTCTCTCTATACCACTCTCTTTCTTTCTCTTAATTCAATCAACTTTCTATTTTGCTATTTCAACTGTTTTTATTTTTCAATTTTTTTGTTTTGTTTTAGCTCTTCCTCTTTCTATCTCATAGATTTACTAAAATTTCATGATAATTTGACAAGAAGAATCTAAAACTGATCTCTCTNCCTCTTTCTATCTCATAGATTTACTAAAATTTCATGATAATTTGACAAGAAGAATCCAAAACTAATCTCTCTTCTTTTTTTTTTGTTGAATTTTGGGTTAAATATGACAGTTAAAAATCTGATTGTTAAAAATATGGTGATGACGTAGTAAGTTACGTGATATTTTTGATTTAAATTATTGAAAGTTAGTTAAAGTAATTAATTAATATAGAGGGTCTCTTTGTAAAAGTTTAGTNTAAGTTACGTGATATTTTTGATTTAAATTATTGAAAGTTAGTTAAAGTAATTAATTAATATAGAGGGTCTCTTTGTAAAAGTGATTTTTTAAAAAAATTATAAAATATAATATTTAAATATATTTTAAATACCTAAATTAAAGAGTTTGGGTTAGAAATTAGGTAATTGCACTCGCAGATTACCACTGGATGTCATGTAAACTATTGGATGCCCAGTCGAAACCCACATTTATTTGGCTTTTCGACGATAAGGGAGGGACATGGCGATTGTTGATTTCTTGTACAGTTTAGTAATGAATCAACAAGAAACAAAAGGAGAAAATTTTGTGAGTAATGGTGTGAGTCCTCTCAGGATTTCCTCTCTGGAACCGCTCATAAATCACATGCTCATTCACTCGCATGCCATCAATAACCCACCTTGAATTCTCCTTGTTTTGGTGAATCGGGAGTTTTTTGTAGTATTGTTGTTACAAAAAACCAAACTCATCTGTGTTGTTAGATTGTGCCCAATATTCGAAGGCAGGGCTGGGGTCCGTATTTCGGTACTTGATGATAACCGGGTATAATACTGGACAATGCTGGATTTATGATGAACGAATTTTGAGCTAATAGAGACATCCATGAAATTGAAGGAAGAATTTTAGCACCGGTATACAGTTTGTCAGTCATGGTCTGAGGACATGAGGAGTAACTAACGTGAAAACTCCGATTCAGGACAATGCGTCAAGTCTTGCATCTTGGGTTAAGAAAACAGATGCAAGGGAAATTGAGAGTTTCTACCAACAATACTACGAGCACTATGTTAGAGCACTGGACAAGGGAGAGCAAGCTGATAGGTACACAGCACACATCGGTTTCGTATTTCCCTTTTTTGTTCATTTGATTTCCAAATAATTTTTTTGAAGCTAATGGTTTGACTGGTTTCAATGCTCCCTATAACATTCTTCCCCTGGATTCTGCCGGGGCATCACAGTCCATTATGCAGCTTGAAGAGGTATAACACATATTTGGCACAAGCACTAACAACAACATATTGATTTTACAGGTTATTTGACTTCTACAAAGTGAATGAATGTACTTAGTTATTCATATTAGCTTAAGTTTGGTGTTAGTTCGGTTTATATTTGCATCTTATTCATTTTTGTATTAGATTTTTAGGCTNAATGTACTTAGTTATTCATATTAGCTTAAGTTTGGTGTTAGTTCGGTTTATATTTGTATTTTATTCATTTTTGTATTAGATTTTTAGGTTATTATATTTGTTGTAGTTGATACAACGATATAAACATAATGTGATGAGATTATTGATGCAATGTAATTATTATTTATGTAAAGGTTTAATCATGAGTTGTACACTAGTTGATATTTTCAATTGGATCATGTTTTCAAATGGAAGTTTGTTGATTTTTTTATTTTAAAAATAATAGATGGTTTATCTCAACTCCTGAAATTTTGTTTGTGACATCAACTATTTTGATTTGAGATTCAAGTGTGTAGTTATAATCAGATGTAATATGTTATTAGTAGTAGTGTTACTAAAAATGTGATTGAATGTTTAAATAGTAGATCTTTGTGTAATGAAAGATACATTTCTTAATGTTCTCAACGCAAATTTTATTTGATATGCCTATTAATTGACCATAATTTTTTTTTATCACTCTATGTCTTAAGACATAGATAATTACTAATATTTGATATAATATTAAAAAACTAATTATTTCACGTGTCTGAAGGCACAAAGTAATAAAAAAATCGTTAATAATAAACATATTTGTATTTACACCTAAAATTAAATTATAAAAGATAGATGAGAGAGAAAGAAATTTAAGTATCGATTATATTGAGGGGCGAGTGGTGATAGTGAAGGTGGGGTGGCGGTGGTGGCGATGCAAGACGATGACAGTTGTGATGGATGATGACGATCGATTGTGATGGTGGCAGTCGTGGGTGACAATAATGATGTTGGCAATGGGGGTGATGGTGAGATAGTGACAGTGGTAGTAAGGTGACGGTAACGGTTGTGGTGGTGGGGTGGTTGTAATGATGGTGGGTGAACGGTGTTAGTGATTGTTGTAGAAGAGGTTATGGTAGAATGACAGTAGTGGTGGCAGTGACGTTTATAGTGGGGGCGATGGGGGTGATACGGTGGCGATAATGGTGGTGGTGGTGTGGCGATGGTGAGAGTGGTGATTGCGGTAGGGCCGGTGGTAGAAGTGTTGGTGGAACGATTTCCAAATAAAAGTACTTATAAAAAGTTATAAACATTAAAAATATTTTTTAAAAGATCACTTTAAACACACCCTTAGAAGTTTATTTTATCTATTAAATTTATAGTGTTAATATTAGTCATTAGATTCCTCCAAAATAATATTTTTGTCATTTTGTAAAATGTATTATTTTATTTTATNAGTGTTAATATTAGTCATTAGATTCCTCCAAAATAATATTTTTGTCATTTTGTAAAATGTATTATTTTATTTTATTTTTATTTTGAAGTAATTTTGGTTACAATTCGGAAGTAATTTTGATTACCATCCAAAATTGTTCGGTCCAGAGTCATAGTTGTTTCAAGCCAGCCTTGACATGACATGAGAGACCGAGGACCAAAAACCGGACCACCATCCACAGCACAAAGACCCGCTCAGCTCTCTCTCCGAAAATCGCGTCCTTCCATCACTCTCCCTTCCCCAACCACGTGTCCCCTCATCCAACTCTCCATTTCTCCCACCTCTTTCTCTTTCAATTCACATTTTCCCTCCCTCTGTCCCTCTCTTCCTGTTCTTTCTCTCTCCTCATTCTTCTCTCCCTCCTGTATGCTACCAGCTAGCTCGTCTTAAACCTCCCGATCAGCTTCTTCTTCAACAAGTAATCAATCTTCATATTTTTTATACACATGCATTCGTATATATATGTGTGTGTGCTCAAGCTTCATGTTTCTTATACACATGCATTTATATATATGTGTGTGTGTGTGTGATCAATCTTCATGTTTCTTATATACAAGAATTCATATATATATTTTGAACATTCTTGATCACGTCTGCTAATTTCATATTGCTCGCACACACACAAACACATAAGTAGAATCTGTATCTCTCTCTCTCTCTCTATATATATATATATGTATGTATACATGTATTACACACACACTCACATTATCTTTCACATTGTACACACGCACACAGAATACGTTTCTCTATATATATGACCTCGGTATTATGTATAATTGGCTGTGAGTATATTGTAGATTGCGAAGATAGTGGAAAGAAAATCGAAGAAGTCGTCGTGACAGCTATATAGTAGAGGCGATGACGTCGACTTCAGTGCCTGAAACAGGGACGCAGCAGGGGGCAGCGGCGCTGCTACGGCGGCCATCGCGGAGCGCCGCCACCACGACCTTCTCTTTGGAGGTCTTCGACAATGAGGTCGTCCCCTCTTCTCTGCAACCTATCAGCCACATTCTCCGCGTCGCCACCGAGATCCAGAACGAGCGTCCTCGCGTTGCCTATCTCTGTACGTTGTTTTGAAATGATTCTCTTCCCTTACAAACCCTATAAAGCTCAATCAGATTATTAGTTATGTCATTTGTTTTCTGCATTGTGATTTGTGATAATTGGTGTTGTGATTTTTAAAATCGTTTCGCGTGTTGTGGTTGTTTTCGATGGTTTGAAGGCCGGTTCTATGCGTTTGAGAAGGCGCACAGGTTGGATCCGAGCTCGAGTGGACGTGGTGTGAGACAGTTCAAAACAGCTCTTCTTCAGCGATTAGAGCGGGTATGTACTTAACTACTTTTTTCGTTTTTTTTTTTTTAATTTCTGGCGGTGATTTCTCTGCTTTGGTTGTTTTCTGTTTCGGACAACTGTCCGATTTGTTGAGCGACTAGCAATGGAGCCGTGTCTGATAGCATGCATAACCAAAAAAAAAAAAAAAACAAACGGTGATTAGACAAAAGACGGCCCACCCAATTACTGAGCTCATCACTTAGAACACAATGTAAATTTCAACAAATACAATCAAATCAAAAATATATATGTTATCGTCAGAAAAAATAGCAGAAACAATATAATAAATAATTGAATCAATCACCATATATCATTTTCTACATAGTACTTGGTATAAATAAAATACACTTGCTCTCGGCCAAAACTTGGCAAATACATTGATAAAATAAATTGGAAGTAATTAAAGTCACAATTATCACTAACCCACCTGAAAAATAATTGGAGAAATGATAACTGAAATTAGAGAAAAATCTATGTAAATATTCTCATATGTTGAGCTTGAAATTAACACTAATGGAATCGAAAAATCATCGCATAACCAATCATCTTGAAAATTTTCAAATATTTGTTTGTAGATCATCGGTCAGTCACCAACTCTGTTGTAGACACAACTCTTTGAAGTCAAATGATATCACCTATTTCACAAATTATAAACACATAAAACAATATAACATACAATATTTTATATTGACTTCATTATTTAACCTATAACAATAAGTCAAGAACTCAAAATCCTACACCTTTAGAAATTAAGATGATCCTCCAAATGAATAGGCAATTCATTGACACCGAACGGGATATTTTCATGTCTTGTAAAACATGATTTGAGTTGTGGGTCACAGATTAACAATAATTCCANCTTTGTGTAATGAAAGATACATTTCTTAATGTTCTCAACGCAAATTTTATTTGATGTCTATTAATTGACCATAATTTTTTTTATCACTCTATGTCTTAAGACATAGATAATTACTAATATTTGATAAGATATTAAAAAACTAATTATTTCACGTGTCTGAAGGCACAAAGTAATAAAAAAAATCGTTAATAATAAACATATTTATATTTACACCTAAAATTAAATTATAAAAGATAGATGAGAGAGAAAAAAATTTAAGTATCGATTATATTGAGGGGCGAGTGGTGATAGTGAAGGTGGGGTGGCGGTGGTGGCGATGCAAGACGATGACAATTGTGATGGATGATGACGATCGATTGTGATGGTGGCAGTCGTGGGTGACAATAGTGATGTTGGCAATGNCGATGCAAGACGATGACAGTTGTGATGGATGATGACGATCGATTGTGATGGTGGCAGTCGTGGGTGACAATAATGATGTTGGCAATGGGGGTGATGGTGAGATAGTGACAGTGGTAGTAAGGTGACGGTAACGGTTGTGGTGGTGGGGTGGTTGTAATGATGGTGGGTGAACGGTGTTAGTGATTGTTGTAGAAGAGGTTATGGTAGAATGACAGTAGTGGTGGCAGTGACGTTTATAGTGGGGGCGATGGGGGTGATACGGTGGCGATAATGGTGGTGGCAGTGATGGTGATGGTGGTGTGGCGATGGTGAGAGTGGTGATTGCGGTAGGGCCGGTGGTAGAAGTGTTGGTGGAACGATTTCCAAATAAAAATACTTATAAAAAATTATAAACATTAAAAATATTTTTTAAAAAATCACTTTAAACACACCCTTAGAAGTTTATTTTATCTATTAAATTTAGANCAACAATACCAGTGAATCAGACTCCACCCAAATCTCTTCCTCCATCATGTCATGGCTAACAACCAGCTGCAAGCCATCTAACAAAGCACAAAATTCAGCCTTCATGTTCGAACACTCCCCATAATAAAACGATGCTGCAAGGATAACACCACCACTTTCATTCCTCAAAATAACCCCTCCACCAACTGGACTAGGATTACCTTTGGTAGCCCCATCGACATTTAACTTTATAATACCGGGATTGGGAAACTCCCAACACACCCAAACAGCCTTGTACACCAAGTCACATGAGACCTTAATGTTCAGCTGCAGGCTTCACACACATCGAGGACCAATTACATTTGGCATCAGTCACTGGACATGGACCTCAAAGCTCGGTGCAGGCGTCAGTTATCAAAGGGTGTGTGTATCTTCCACTTATTAAGGCTTTTGTTGAGCTCATTCTGCTTGGCCATAAATCAAACAGTTGGTGGGCAGTGGACAATGAGCAATACAAATGTTATCACATATCTACACAAATCATTAATAACAAAACTTATCAAATTCTATGATGCGAGGACAAGATTGTGACCTGAATTTCTCAAGCGAGGGCTACTGGCTGTTGCTTCAACGGCTTGATATTCTTCTTTGACTTCGGATCGCACTCGACGAGAAAGTCTTCGACATTGTACACGACGATGATGTAGAGTGAGCAGCTAGGGAACCGAGAGAAGATTCTCAGATCTTCTTTGGTTATCTGAAACATGTCTCCGCATGGGCGCGGGTACATGAAGGCCTGAAGCTCCTCGGTCCACTCCATATCTTTGATCGAAACTTTGCTCTACGCGATTTGGGCTACCAGAGATTGATGGATCTCCACCGCTAGTAGCTACCCCCAATTATAAGATCGATCAGATTTTGGGAGGCACAAAGTCGGTTAAAGAGGTCGGTTTACGTCGGTGGTCGTCGTCGGCGGTCGGTGGTTGGTGTCATCTGTGGATGTCGGGGAGCAAGGGTGCTACTCGCGAAAAAAAAAAAGTGTTTTATCAACGGGAAAAGTTATTTTTTTTNAAAAAAAAAAAAAAAACAAACGGTGATTAGACAAAAGACGGCCCACCCAATTACTGAGCTCATCACTTAGAACACAATGTAAATTTCAACAAATACAATCAAATCAAAAATATATATGTTATCGTCAGAAAAAATAGCAGAAACAATATAATAAATAATTGAATCAATCACCATATATCATTTTCTACATAGTACTTGGTATAAATAAAATACACTTGCTCTCGGCCAAAACTTGGCAAATACATTGATAAAATAAATTGGAAGTAATTAAAGTCACAATTATCACTAACCCACCTGAAAAATAATTGGAGAAATGATAACTGAAATTAGAGAAAAATCTATGTAAATATTCTCATATGTTGAGCTTGAAATTAACACTAATGGAATCGAAAAGTCATCGCATAACCAATCATCTTGAAAATTTTCAAATATTTGTTTGTAGATCATCGGTCAGTCACCAACTCTGTTGTAGACACAACTCTTTGAAGTCAAATGATATCACCTATTTCACAAATTATAAACACATAAAACAATATAACATACAATATTTTATATTGACTTCATTATTTAACCTATAACAATAAGTCAAGAACTCAAAATCCTACACCTTTAGAAATTAAGATGATCCTCCAAATGAATAGGCAATTCATTGACACCGAACGGGATATTTTCATGTCTTGTAAAACATGATTTGAGTTGTGGGTCACAGATTAACAATAATTCCACTTTTTTTTTTTTGCTAATATCTGACTTTTATACAATTCTAACTTGCAAGCTATTATGCTCCAGGGTAGTTATAACAGAAAAAAGGAGAGGTAAGTTAAGAAATAACCAAATATAATAAACACATTTCTCGCAACAGGAGTAAACTAACAATTCTATTCCATTTAGTATTCAAAACCAACATTATTACATTCATAGATCTTGTGAACTTTTATGAAGGAGACAACCCTTTTTCTAATGTTGATTACCAGACTTAACAATGGAAAAAAAAACAGCAGCCTGCATAAAGTTTAACTACATTTCAATCCATACACTAAAAAAATCTTTAGAGATGCTAAGATACTAATGGAGTTTAATTAGATTTCCAAGGGTGACATTACATGAAGACGATGTATTGTACACACAAGTACTTGATTTCACAGGATTTACAATCCAAACTCACATTAAACTAAAATTCATATTTAAAAACCAAAAATAATTAAAAAACACGATAAATTCAAAAGAATGTTACATATAAATTACACTTATCTGATTCTTTTCTTCAAAAAATAAGTTGTGTGTGTCAGATAACGTGGGCTCTGTCACCCAAACTTGTTTATTCATTCACAAAAGCAACACATTCTACACACAACAACTGATGTGCTTCCAGTTATACCCTANTCCAAACTCACATTAAACTAAAATTCATATTTAAAAACCAAAAATAATTAAAAAACGTGATAAATTCAAAAGAATGTTACATATAAATTACACTTATCTGATTCTTTTCTTCAAAAGATAAGTTGTGTGTCTCAGATAACGTGGGCTCTGTCACCCAAACTTGTTTATTCATTCACAAAAGCAACACATTCTACACACAACAACTGATGTGCTTCCTGTTATACCCAAAATTAAAGAACCTTAAATCCCTAATTTTAGGCAATTTTTCCCCAGCAACCCCTAATTCCAAACAACTCAAGATAAAATCCCCAATTTCTATATTCCATCACACCAAAAATTTTAAATCTGTGACAAATATTTACTCAAAAAAAAAAAATGAACCACAAATACAAACAATTAATCACAAAATCAATTGCATGCGTGTTACTGTGCGCGTGTGTTTGTGTGTGACGACTGGAATATGTGTGTGTGTGTGAGAGAGAGAGAGAGAGAGAGAGAGAGAGAGAGGTCTCTGTGTGAGGGTGTTTTCAGAGAAGGGGGGTGCCCAAAGGGTGGGTTTGCAGGGTGGGTTTGCAGAGAAATACTTGGGAGGGCAAACAAACAATTAATGGAGTTTAGGATTTTTTAGGAACAAATTATTAAAAGTACAACTCATTTGTCGTAAGATAAATATGATAAGACTTAATAGTTATTTTGAAAGAAAAGTAAAATTTATTGGTATTTTTTCTAAAATTAAAAATATGTTTATTTATTATATTAAACATGGGAGATAGAATTATTTCGATCCAATTATATAATTACAATCTATCCACTTTAAAAAATTATTAAGCATAAGTTTTTCCATTAATAAAAGTCTAGAAAGCTTAAAAACAATTACAGATTTATGTTTGTTGGTTTTTTGGGTTCAATGGGGAAGCCAATAATAGGTGGAATTTTATAATTTTTTCTCCACCACCAAACATTACCAAAACTCTATATATTCATATATCGAAGGTCGCAAAGTGCTGTCTGTGCATGTAAGTGGTCTATATATAACTTTTATAAACTTCCATCTCGCCGAAAAAAGTCATTGGGTTTGGGGTTAGGGGCTTAGGTAATTGCACTCGCAGATTACCCTTGGTGTCATGTAAACTATTGGATACCCAGTCGAAACCCTGTCTGGAACCGCTCATAAATCACATGCCATCAATAACCCACCTTGAATTCTCCTTGTTTTGGTGAATCGGGTCATTTGCAGTTTACAAAAAACCAAACTTCATCTGGGTTGGTAGATTGTGCCCAACATTCGAAGGCAGGGCTGGGGTACGTATTTCGTTATTTGATGAAAATCGGGTCTAATACTGGACAATGCTGGATAAATGATGAACAAATTTTGAGCTAATGGAGACGTCCATGAAATTGAAGGAAGAATTTTAGCACCGGTATATAGTTTGTCAGTCATGGTATGAGTACATGAGGAGTAACTAACGTGAAAACTCCGATTCAGGACAATGCATCAAGTCTTGCCTCTCGGGTTAAGAAAACAGATGCAAGAGAAATTGAGAGCTTCTACCAACAATACTATGAGCACTATGTTAGAGCACTGGACAAGGGAGAGCAAGCAGACAGGTACACAGGACACATCGGTTTCGTATTTCCCTTTTTTGTTCATTTGATCGCCAAATAATTTTTTTCGAAGCTAATGGTTTGACTGGTTTCAATATTTTATGAACAGAGCTCAACTGGGCAAAGCTTACCAGACAGCCGGAGTGCTTTTCGAAGTTCTCTGTGCCGTTAACAAGACTGAAAAAGTCGAAGAAGTTGCTCCCGAGGTCAGAATCCATTAGGGATTAATTCTGTTGTATACTGCTTGATGCATATGCAGCTATTAGAGTATGTTTATCAAGAATTTGCGAGAGAATTACTTGGCAGAAGGAGCTTAGCAATGTGCACTTTTATGAGCAGATTATTGCCGCAGCAAAAGATGTCCAGGCAAAGAAGGAAATCTATGCTCCCTATAACATTCTTCCCCTGGATTCTGCCGGGGCATCACAATCCATTATGCAGCTTGAAGAGGTATAACACATAAATAGACACACATAAACACATACACACATGTATGTCCATTGCCTACATAGCTGCCAGAATGTGTAAGTTTCCTACTTTGTGTAAATCAGAATAAAGCTGCTGTGGCTGCACTGCGGAACACACGTGGCTTGAATTGGCCGGCCTCATTTGAGCAGCAAAGGCAGAAAGCAGGGGAGTTGGACCTTCTTGATTGGCTAAGGGCAATGTTTGGGTTTCAGGCATGTGTTCTTGATCCAAAGAATCATATATAGATGGTTTACAGTTGCTGCATGACTTCTCCAAGCNCAGGGGAGTTGGACCTTCTTGATTGGCTAAGGGCAATGTTTGGGTTTCAGGCATGTTTTCTTGATCCAAAGAATCATATATAGATGGTTTACAGTTGCTGCATGACTTCTCCAAGCTGATAACTATCTTTGGCTTATTTTGGTGTCTACAGAGGGACAATGTAAGGAACCAGAGGGAGCATTTGATTTTGATGCTTGCCAGTATTCATATAAGGCTTATTCCCAAGCCTGAACCTCTTAACAAGGCATGTAATACTCTCTCATGTCAGATTATACTCTGTTGCATTTAATGTCTTTTGATAATTTGTTCCTGCATGCACATGGGTGCACACACTCCAGATCATTTGAACATTTTTCTTGTTGAAATTTTGGGTTTAATTTTTTATATCTAACTGGTATTTTTATATAATGTTTTGAACATTGTCTTTGGAAATAGGTTACATTTTCTCACACTTAGGCAAGTGGCTGAACTTAATTATACATTTCTCTTATGTAGCTTGATGATCGAGCTGTTGATGCATTCATGAACAAGCTTTTCAAAAATTACAAAACATGGTGCAAATATTTGGGAAGGAAACACAGTTTACGGTAAGATATATTTGTGTCCACATCTAATATCGTTAGTGGGCTTGTTGCACATGCGTTTTCTTTTGGAGTTGAGAGTTGAGCTTCATATGCATTATCTCAAGGTTGTAATGCTAAAATATATGGGTCTCATTTCTTGTAGGCTCCCTCAAGGGCAAGAAGAAGTGCAACAAAGAAAGATACTTTACATGGGCCTCTATCTTCTTATCTGGGGTGAAGCAGCCAATGTCCGCTTTATGCCAGAGTGCTTATGCTACATTTTTCATAATGTGAGTTCATTCATTTGTGTTTATTCCCACAGTAACATGTGGCAACTGTAATGTATACTTCATTCTTTTTTTCAGATGGCATATGAACTCCATGGTCTATTGGCTGGAAATGTCAGCATTGTCACTGGAGAAAACATTAAGCCTTCTTATGGTGGGGATAACGAGTCTTTCCTTCGGAAGGTCATAACGCCCATTTATCGCGTCATTGACAGGGTACTTGTCTGTGATTTGTTGTCATACTATGGGTTCTTCTGTTTCACACAAAGTTTAATGATGCGCTTATGGTGTTCTAGGAGGCCAAGAAGAGCAAAAATGGGAAAGCCCCTCACTCAGCTTGGTGCAATTATGATGATCTAAATGAGTATTTCTGGTATGGAAAGAATAAAATTGAAAATTGCAGTTCATTCTGAGATTGTAATTGGTGCTACCTGTTGTACTAAGAAGTGTAATTTTGCCCTATGTTTTCCAGGTCATCTGATTGCTTCTCTTTGGGTTGGCCCATGCGTGATGATGGCGATTTCTTCAAATCAACGCGTGACAAGACTCAGGTACTGCTTAAATACTCTGCAGATGTTGTCCCTTTATATCACTTTAGAATTTTTTTTTTTATTGGCTGAACCCCGGGCTAGCGATGCATGGAGCATCGCCCAAAGGCCACAGTAGTAAACACTACTATTGATAAGCCTTTGGAGGCACTGTGTCAAAAAATGACACTTAAGAGTCCAAAGGTTGATTATATTACTTTAGAAAGTTGCTTCTTTGCTTAATATAATTGGTCTGGCAGGGAAGCACAGGCAAATCATACTTTGTTGAGACCCGAACATTTTGGCATATCTTCCGAAGTTTTGATCGATTGTGGACGTTTTTTATTCTGGCTCTACAGGTACTTAGTATATTAAATTAACATTGTTTTTGCTCCTGACTTCAAGTCCCTGTGCCAGCAAATAATTGCTTGAAATGTTCTATTGCAGGCTATGGTCATCATTGCATGGAGTGACATTTCTCTATTGGATATTTTCCAGAGGGATGTCTTATATAACCTGTCCAGTATTTTCATCACGGCAGCCCTTCTTCGCTTCCTTCAAAGTATGACCTTCTTACCTGATAGCTGGAACAGCACAGCTCAAGCTTAATCAATATGTCATTTCCTAATCCTTGTTGATGCATATGCCTTAAAAAGTGTTGATGTTATGAAGCAATTATAGATCTCTAAAAGCTCATATTTTGTTGTTTTCAAACTTTTTTCTTTCTTTCTTGAGATTTAGAAATTAGACAGAAGAAAAACTTTGGAAATAAAGTGAAGTGTTAAACTTTCCATTGACTTGTTGATGGAATCGGGTTGTCTTTCGGTATGGTAGAGGTAGAGATTATAACTTCATTGTGATTTTGGTTATTTTTGGGCACTTATTTGTCATTTTGTTTATTTAGTTTAGAACTCTTTGCTTTAGGTTTTTGGTATTCCCTATCTATGGGTTAATGTAATGGTTTTAGGCAGCCTTTGATTATGGATTTATCAAGATATTCTTTCCCCAAGCTACTTTTCTCTTCTCCTTTTTCTTCTTCAAGTCTAATTCTCTAGTTCCCTTACCAGTCTACATCAATTTGGTATAAGAGCTCATCAATCTGCATCACTGGTGTTAGTTCCNTTGGTATTCCCTATCTATGGGTTAATGTAATGGTTTTAGGCAGCCTTTGATTATGGATTTATCAAGATATTCTTTCCCCAAGCTACTTTTCTCTTCTCCTTTTTCTTCTTCAAGTAATGCATGGTAGTATTCAATGCTTACAAAGTTGTTTCTATAAACAAAACCATGTTAAAAACCACTGAAATTGTAATAATTTTGTCTTGCAATTTTCCAAATACATGTTAGAGCTACAGAGGTTAAAAAAAAAGTTATTGTCCAGTTTGGTCTCTACTAAGGAGGGATGGATAGGTTACATACCCAACTTTTGCATCAGATCTGAACCCTTAACATTCCGGTTGCTAAAGCTACAGATTGTATCAACCAAATATTGGTACATGTTTCTAAGCTTTTGACCTTTAACAGCAGACAATTGCAAATGTTGTTTGTAAGTCTAATTACTCATGAAGAAGCATCCTTTGGTTGAAGAAAAATCATATAACTTCAATATACTTGGTTTGATTTACTTTTGTGTTGCTGCATTTAATGGGTATTGAGTTGCTGTACAACGACTTTCTATGTGGTCTCGCATTGCCTAAAAGAAATAGACTTTTTTTCTATGTCAAGTTGAATGCAACCCAAGGTCCCACTTAGACTCTTATATTTGCTTTTGTTGCTATTTGTGAATGGTCTTCACATGTAGTTTAATTTGTTTATCATGATTTTACCTCTTAGATAACATAGTGCGGCTGACTGTTCACTTTGTTTTAAAGAATTGGTCGAAATTTGCCAATTGGATGGACAGTCAAAATCATGATAGTGTTATACAAAGACAAAGAATGAGAAATTAGATGGAAAAGAAGCAAAGTGGCTAGGACAAAGGATAGAAGAAAATGGAAGCCATTACTGATTACAAATGATGTTTTCATTTGAAGTTTCAAATTTTTATTTTTATTTTTCTTAACAAAAGCCTTGCAACAGTTTTCCAATATTTTTAACAAAATAATGTTATAATATTGTAACATGAGACATAGTTAACAGATCTCAGGCCATGAATATAAACATAACAACTCTCGCAGTTGAAAGATCTTAGACCATGACTACGCACAACTCTCTCAGACGTATCACAACGTTGGATTATATGGTTGATGGCCTCTCCATGCATTGTCCATTGATTTTGGTTTGGATACCTCTCACATGGTATCCATACTTTGGCCTTACGTGGTCAATGGACAAAGTCTCTCTCCCATTTTGATTTTATTTTCATTTGTTGGTCTGTTTCAATTTGGTTTGTTAGTTGACGTGCAAGCACAAGTCTTGCGTGTGGGAGGGTGTGAACATTGAAGAGAGCTTGTAATCCACATGGAAAGGTTGCGACCACCAAGATTGATTTTTATGGTTGAGAAAATCTCTTCATCCATTGCCAGTTGGAATTGTCACTCATTTGAAGGCCTACCTGCTTATACACAGCAGGAATTTTTACTCCAACAGCTTTCCTTGCTTAGTTTAGCAGTCCTTATTTTTATAATCTTTTAGANCTCTTCATCCATTGCCAGTTGGAATTGTCACTCATTTGAAGGCCTACCTGCTTATAGACAGCAGGAATTTTTACTCCAACAGCTTTCCTTGCTTAGTTTAGCAGTCCTTATTTTTATAATCTTTTACAAATGCATGATACTTGTAATTGTTGAATTCTGTTTTAGTAAATTTGCAGATGTGAAAAGGCTTTCTCGTATCTTCAATTTTCACATTCTATTTTGGTCTTGAGATTTAATTGTTTCTATTTTGGTCTTGAGATTTAATTGTTATTAAGAACTCATCTTTTTCCTTGTGTTGATCTTAGGTATCTTGGACTTTGTTTTGAACTTCCCGGGCTACCATAGATGGAAATTTACTGATGTGATGAGAAATATTCTCAAGATAGTTGTCAGCCTTGCGTGGTCTGTTATACTTCCAATATGTTATTTGCACCAAAACAATTCATTGGCTTTTGGCAAGACCAAAGATGTGCTCTCATTCCTTAACAGACTTAAAGGCATTCCTCCTTTATATATCATGGTTGTGATTATATATCTGCTTCCAAATTTACTGGCTGCAATCTTGTTTATATTTCCAATGCTCCGACGCTGGATTGAGAACTCAGACTGGCTTATTGTGAGGTTTCTTTTATGGTGGTCACAGGTGCTTGTTATTCCTCATCTTCTTTCTCTCTATTTTTAAGCAAGTTTCATGTCATTTTTTCCTAGCATAATTGATTTTTGATTGGTGAGGAGTATCTGTACCAGGTATACAGGAATAAGTCATTTTCTCATAGTATTTTTCACGCCGTGTTTGATCATGTACCTTAATGATAAGCTCCAGTTGCTCATGTCCACATGCACACAAACAGTACTGGATACTTAACTGAAATTTCTGTTCCTGAAATTGAAAGAATTCTTCCTGCCTTATACTTTCTTTGTTTCATAGGGTGAACCTTTTCTTCTGTGTTAAACCTGTTTAGTTGAGTATATAAAGCAATTCTGTCTTTTGTTTCACTACTTCAGCATTAAATTCATCAGTAATATACAGTTAGTTACGTCTAAATGTGGTATGCCTGCCATCATTAATCGCTAGACTTTGGTTGTGCCAATGCTGTTATGCCAATCCATTCTTTGTACCGGGTGGTACTTGAGAACTCAAATTCCTCGGTAATAATTTGTTGGAATGTGATCTACAGATGTGCTTATAATTTCAAACAAGTTTTGATTGGGGCCTTGAATCTGATAAGTTGGTTTGATCTGTTCCTAAAATTGTTAGGAAAGAGAGCTTAAATTTGTTATAGGATATTATTCCATCATATTGTTATTGTGTGAAGCAAACAGCTCTTGGCATGCTTGGTAAGGCTGTGTATGTAGGGGTCTCCAGATTATGCAGTGCCCATTGTTATTTATTTTGTAATAAAATTCATTTGCTAGTCATACATACACAGATATAACCTCATGACAATCATTCTTGAACATGCCAACAATTTCTGTTTAGTGATTCAAGTTCCAAAATGCTTTAGTCCTTTGTCACCATGCATTTTCTTCATTTTGTGTTTCAACAGTACATGATTGAATAAAACCATTTAATTCTCTTTCTTCCTTGCATAAGAGTCATTCAGCTTAGAACCAGTACTTCTCTTAGAATCTTTCTCTCCTTACCCCCCCCCCCCCC